TTGCCTGTGATGTAGGTGGGGCTGAGAGAGCTCTTTCCAGAACTGCTGTTGAGAGGGCAGCTCTGAAAGAGCTTGTGACTGGCCCAAGGTCACCCAGCAGCTGCATGTGGAGGAGTGGTGAATCAAACCTGGTTCTCCCAGATTAGAGTTCGCCCTCCTAACCACTACACCAAACTTTCTACCCGTATCTTCTGCCCGGGGCTTCCCTTTTGAGGCAGGTGCTTGCCCCACCAGAATGGGGATCCGGCCAGCTTTCCAAAAAGTGACTTTGGATGACGTTGGCTTTCTAAAATCTGAAATGGAGACCGTTGTTTTGCGAGGCAACTGCACAGCCTCGGAGGTCATAAAGCACCTCCCCGATTCAGAGGAAAGGTGTCCTGGCCTTTGAGCAACGTTTAATGGAATAAGAGGTTTCTCTGCAGGCAAAAAAAGAAAACAGTTATGAGGAACCGGTTTCTCTGCTTACTTGTGCCCTGAGGGCTACGCATTAGTATTGCATCACTGCACATGCTGAATGATGTTCCCCAGGGTTAGCCTCCGTGAGCATCCAAAGTTCAAAATACTTGGGGGAAAGTGTCCTGCTGTATAATAAAGCTTTTACAGAGAAGTCTGTAGTCGCAGTTAACAGACCCTGACTCTCTTCGGAGGCCTCTGTTGTAAAAAGGCACCGGGTGCTATCCAACTGGAACAGCCAGTTGAAGATTCTCCCATGTGTTTGATCAGAATGAGCTTCTGGCTGGGGGACAATGAAGTTTCTGGAAGTATCATAAGAACATAAGAGACGCCAGTGTTGGATCAGGCCAGTGGCCCATCCAGTCCAACACTCTGTGTCAAACAGTGGCCAAAACCCAAGGGTTATCTGGAGGTCCACCAGTGGGGCCAGAGCTCCAGAAGTCCTCCCATTGTTGCCCCCCAAGCACCACAAAGACAGAGCATCACTGCCCCAGACATAAGAACGCAAGAGAAGCCATGTTGGATCAGGCCAGTGGCCCATCCAGTCCAACACTCTTTGTCACACAGTGGCCAAAACCCAGGGGCCATCGGGAGGTCCACCAGTGGGTCCAGAACTCCAGAACCCCCCCCCCCACTGTGGTCCCCCAAACACCAAGAATGCAGAGCATCAGGACATAAGAAAAACCATGTTGGATCAGGCCAATGGCCCATCCATAAGAACATAAGAGATGCAAATGTTGGATCAGGCCAATGGCCCATCCAGTCCAACACTCTGTGTCACACAGTGGCCAGAAATACCAGTGCCATCAGGAGGTTCACCAGTGGGGCGTTAGGTTAAAATTATATCCAGTCCAACACTCCTTGTCTCACAGTGGCCAAAACCCAGGGGCCATCAGGAGGTCCACCAGCGGGGCCAAAACTCCAAAAACCCTCCCACTGTGGCCCCCCAAACACTAAGAATGCAGAGCATCAGAACATAAGAAAAACCATGTTGGATCAGGCCAGTGGCCCATCCAGTCCAACACTATCTGTCACACAGTGGCCAAAACCCAGGGGCCATCAGGAGGTCCACCAGCGGGGCCAGAACTCCAGAAGTCCTCCCACTTCTGCCTCCCAAGCACCAAGGATACAAAGCGTCACTTCCCCCGACATAGTGTTCCATCTATGCCTTGTTGCCAGTAGCCATCCATGGACCTCAGCTGCATATTTTTATCCACTCCTTAGCAGGAGATTGAAAAAACTGCTCTCTTTCTCTATGGCTAACCCGTACTGCTGGACTTGGAAAATTTTCAGCCTTTTAGCCCTTTGTGTCGTTCATGGTTCCCCAACACGGTGCCCGTGGGCGCCACGATGCCCGCTGTCTTTAGAAACAGTCGGGGCCGAATGGGGCTCCTGCCCAGTTGGCCATTGGGAATCTGATTGGCTGGATAGATGAACACAGCCACAGTGTTGGTTTTCTTCTCTCACTTAATCCCACTGTATTTTTTCTTAATTAGTTCTCTTGTCCTGGGCACTTGCACTTTCTCTATGTGTCCCTGTGCGGCTGGCTGTACGGTTATGCCCACCATGCTCTGTCAGAATTCCAGGGGCTCAAAAAGGTTGGGGACCCCTGAGGGTAAAGTCAGAGGTGGGCTGATACATTGGACTCCTCTTTCCAGCGTTCCCTCTAAGCTGAGTGAGTGTGAGCTAGCTCACGGTTTTTTTTAGCCTCCGGCTCACAGCTTTGTTGCCTTGGCTCAGGAAGGAGGGCTCCAGAGCAAACTAATTTGGGCAGTAGCCGAATTGCTCGCTCTCAACTTTAATGGCCAGCAGCTCACAAAGTAGGATTTTTGCTCACAGGACTCCACAGCTCAGAGAGAGCTTTGGTTATGACCACTCCAGGGTTCTCTAACAACTCAGGGGCCTTCTCCCTTTCCTTCTCCTTTAATGAATTCTCACCGGCTCTTAATGTGGAGAATGCCGAATCACAGCGAAGTGTTAGGTTAAAATTATATACCGATTTTTATGAGGTTATTTGTGGTTTATCATATAACTGATAAGCAATGCTCCCCTCTAAGCTGTGGAGTCTTGTGAGCAAAATTGCACTTTGCAAGCGACTGGCATTAAAGTTGTGAGCGAGCGACTTGGCTGCTGCCTAAATGAGTTTGCTCTGGAGCCACCCTTCCTGATCGAAGATGAAAACAGATGAGCCGGAGGCTAAAAAACCTGTGAGCTAGCTCACACTGACTCAGCTTAGAGGGAACACTGCCGATAAGACTGATAAACCAGGATAAAAATGTTAATGTTTTCGGAAAAAATGGTGGACTGTGGGGTAGGTTGTTATAGTGGTCTTTAAAGTTATAATGTTTCATAAGAATTCAAGTATTTGAATGTATTGCCTGTTATATTTGGAAAACATGCCCTTTATACTACATTTTGGTAATTTTACCTTTTATTCTTCTCGTACCCCTTTTCTTTATTCTGTCTTCCCTCAAAAAGTTCAAAATAAAAAGAGTGATATAGCAGAGAATGCGGAATCCTCAGGCTGTTTGGTGGCTGGTCGTCTTCTTTTTTAAATCCACAAACTAATCTTTTTTTTTTTCTGCATATCCAGGGAGCAGCCGCTCCCCATAAAAATGTACCTGGATGTAGGGCCCCAGTTTATCTCTGGGTGTCCTTGTCTTATTCCCTTCTCGACTGGCAAAAGCCTGTTCTTGACTTCTAGGTACCATAACAGTTTGGTGTAGTGGTTAAGTGCGCGGTTAAGTAGCCAGTTTGGTGTCGTGGTTAAGTGCGCGGACTCTAATCTGGAGAACTGGGTTTGGTTCCCCACTCCTCCTCCACATACAGCCAGATGGGTGACCTTGGGCAAGCCATAATTCTGGCACAGCTGTTCTTGAAAAAGAGCAGTTTCTGTCAGAGCTCTCTCAGCCCCACCTACCTAGCCACAGGGTGTCTGTTGTGGGGAGGGGAAGGGAAAGGAGTTTGTAAGCCGCTCTGAGACTCCTTTGGGTAGTGAAGGGCGGGGTATAAACCCAATCTCTTCTTCTTCTTCTTTTACCTCACAGGGTGTCTGTGGTGGGGAGGGGAAGGGAAAGGAGTTTGTAAGCCGCTCTGAGGCTCCCTTGAGTAGTGAAGGGCGGGGTATAAATCCAATCTCTTCTTCTTCTTAATTTTTTTTTATTTTGATTTATAGCCCGCCCTCTTCTGTACAACAGGGCTCAGAGCAGGTTGCAGGATCCTTAATGCTATTTAAGCTACCAGACAAATATTTACTTTTTGCATTTTAGTAATAGTACACTTAGATTTTGAAAGCTGATTTAACTGTTATAGTTTGGTTATAATAACTACCTGGTTATGATTGTAAGGGTTTGTTTATTGTAAATTTTTAAATTTCTTCTTGTTACTGCTCTATTTTATGACTGTAAGTTATATTGAAAAATAAAAAAGTGTTGGTTTAAAAAAAACACTCCATACAATCAAAACATTAAATAATTCTACAAGAAGGGGGACCCACAATACTCGTGGGGGTGGGGGGAGACGCTCTACGGGACAAGGAAGCAGCCGTAGGTGAGCCTTCTCCCCTCCCCCCCC